GTTGTTGGATAGGTTTGCAAGATAATAAAGAGCACGACAATAAAACTAGGGTCTGTTAAGGTAAATAAGCAACTAAAGTAAATATAGCGAGTGTGGAAAAGTGGTGGTAGGAGTTGCGAAATTGTCCCTTAAGCAATTGACTACTTTACTAGACCGATAGTAAGTATTATGTGGGAGAGGCCACTGCTAGCATGTTATCCCTTACTTGGAATTATATGCACTTATGATTGGAACTATTAGCAAGCATCCGCAACTACTAACGTTCATTAAGGTAAAACCCAACCATAGCATTAAGATATATTGGTCCCCCTTCAATCCCATATGCATCAATTTCTATGCTAGGTTGAAGCTTCTGTCACTCTTGCCCTCCAATACATAGTCCTATCAACATACAACTAACCCTATGGTGTGATCCACGCACGCGCTCATATGATGGGCACCAAAGGACAACAACATAACCACAAGCAAATTAAATCAATCATAGCAATTCATCAACCACCGATAGGACAACGAAAATCTACTCAGACATCATAAGATGGCAACCCATCATTGGATAATAATATGAAGCATAAAGCACCATGTTCAAGTAGAGGGTACAGCGGGTTGCGGGAGAGTGGACCGCTGTAGATAGAGGGGGGAAGGTGATGGAGATATTGGTGAAGATGGCAGAGGTGTTGGTGAAGATCGCGGTGACGATGATGATGGCCACGGCGGCGTTCCGACGCCACCGAAGGAGAGGGGGAGAGGGGCCCCCTTCTTCCTCTTCTTCCTTGACCTCCTCACTAAGTGGGAGAAGGGTTTCCCCTCTGGTCCTTGGCCTCCATGGCATGGGAGGGGCGAGAGCCCCTCCGAGATTGGATCTATCTCTCTGTTTCTCTCTGGTTCTGCGTTCTCTCCTGGCTCTGTTTCACCGTTTCGTATATATATATGGAGATCCGTAACTCCGATTGGCCTGAAACCTTCACCGTGATTTTTTTTCCGAATATTAGCTTTCTTGCGGCAAAAGAAGAGCGTCAACCGCCTTACGGTGGGCTCACGAGGGTAGGGGGCGCGCCCAGGGGGGCAGGCGCGCCCCCTGCCTCGTGACCACCTTGGGCACTGGTTCGCGTTGATTTTCCTTCCAAAATTTCCATATTTTCCAAAAATAAGCTCCGTCCGTTTTTATCCCGTTTGGACTCCGTTTGATATGGATATTCTACGAACCAAAAACATGCAACAGACAGGAACTGGCACTGGGCACTGGATCAATATGTTAGTCCCAAAAATAATATAAAAAGTTGCCAAAAAGTATATGAAAGTTGAATAATATTAGCATGGAACAATCAAAAATTATAGATACGACGGAGACGTATCATTGCCGAGGCACGTACGACCCACTCCTTGGGGGAGGCGTAGGCACTCGACGCCGATCGTGGTGATCGACTCGGTGATCATACTGCTCACGGTTTTTGTACTGATCTCGTCGATCTTCACGTCCCTCACGCCTCAGGGGCGTTCTTTGGCTGTGAGCCAACTGAACTGTGTCTGCAACCACGGATCTGCTATGGATCCTATTCTGCGACTGAGATACTGTTGTATTCTGCTCTCCTGCCGCACGGAGCAAAGCTCGGATCTGCACCAGACCTCGACCAGCTTCTGACTGGGAAGGTTGGATCGACTCCGCTATCCGGGCTCCAGCTGCGAGATTCTGGATCGGAGTTCGGTATACCCGAGTCGGAGGCAGAAAGAGTTGACGTCGACTGGATTCGGGAGCACGCTGTTGAGCACGCTCGTCGAGTGCGCGCTGGAGGTTCTCCAGTCGAGTGCGCTCAGCCAAATTGGCCAGGCGCGCCTCCTCCAAGGCCTGGGCCTCAGGGGTTTCTCCAACGATAGGAGTGTGAAGTGCATCCATGTTCCGACGGTGAAGTTCTTCCCTTCGCTGCGAAGAGAGGGGTTCAAGGCGGTACTCTTCATGAACACGCGACGGATCGCCGTTCCCATCGCCTCCGTCTTCACGGGTGAAGCCAGGAGGACTGTGTGGTCCATTGACCATCAAAACTTCCGCCGCTGGGTCGCTGCTGTCGCACTTGGGTGCAGTCTCTACGGAGCCAGTCGACAGATCGAATAGGCCGTAGAGGGTTTCGTCGGGCTCGATTGCCGCGACTTGAGGGGTGGCCGACTGGCGAGCCATCGCATGCTTCACCCACCACTGAAGCCTCGATCGACCGGAATGTTTGCTCCGGCGGGCTGCAGGAAGGGGAAAAGCTACGGGAGCCGACTGATACTGGGTCGACGGCTATCGCAGGAGGACGCCGCGGACGCACGCGCGAAAGTGCGTTGCTCCGCGGGCGGGAAGTGCGTCGACATCGAGTGGAGCCTCCTGAAGCCAAGCGGAGTCGTCGGCGACAAACACGAGCGCGCCGAGACAGATCTCGCGGCCCTCAGCCAAACCTCCGCTTGAAACCATGATGAAGGGGATCGGAAAAATTGCAACCTCTCCAACAAGTCGCTAAGACACCTGCCCCAAGGTGGGTGCCAACTGTCGTGGTTCTAAGTATGACCGTAGAATGGGGGTAGGTATGTAGAGGCAGGATCCTAGCTATGGAGGAGTTGTACATGCGAGTTTTACGAGTTCAGGCCCTTCTCGGAGGAAGTAACAGCCCTACGTCTCGGAGTCCGGAGGCGGTCGACTGGATTATACGCGTGTGAGTTACAGGGGGTGCGAACCCTTGTCCCTGAGGAGGGGGTGGCTTATATAGAGTTTGCCAGACCCCTCCCGTCCTCAGTTACAAAGGGTTTAAGGTACATAAAGGTAGGGACGTTACTGGTAATGCCTATAATAAAAGTACATAAATGACCATTAAAGCTATGACTTAAATCCCGACCGTTGCAGAGTGAGTGGCTCTCAATCTTCTGGTAGTCGAGTGGTTGTTCGTACGGTCGAGTGTCTTCAAGACTGTCGAGTGGAACATGGCATTATGGTCGAGTGGTCGATGATTTTTCTTCGACTGCTTCCGGTTCTTTTAGAGATGCCCTTCGGGAGGGTATCCGGATTAGATCCATGACCCTACCCTAGGTACATAGCTTCGTCAAGCGGGACATAGGTTTTACCTCCATTAAGAGGGCCCGAACCTCGGTAAACATCTTGTCCCCTTTGTCTCCTGTTACCTTCGATCCTCAGATGCACAGTTCGGGACCCCCTACCCGAGATCGGCCGGTTTTGATACCGACAACGAGTTCACACCCTCATCATTTTCCCCTAACTCCCTGATTCCCTGTTCACTGGATCCACCTCGTCAGCCCCTTTGCGCCCATCAATAACAACTGACTAGCTATGACGCCCTCCTGACTATTTTCATAATCTAGACGATGTTTTAGAGCCCCTGATAAGAGTGAAGAATTATTATGGGGATTAACCGGGCTTGAGGCTATACTTTTTAGGTCTTCGTCCTCCTTGCATAGCTCACTAGTCTCATTCAATCCATGACCTCCCTGACGTACCCCACCTCTTGTAGCTGATCTACCCCCTGTAGCACCCATACCAGCCGGCACCCAATACTCATTTTTTCTGAACTCCTATGCAATAAGCGTCGGGAGCTAGATAATATCCTTCTCTTCATGGACACCGTTTCCGTGCCCCTTAGCCACATGGCCAACAAATCCACATACTTCGCAGAACACTGACATCTATTCATACTCGAAATCAAAGTACACTTTTTTTTGCTTCTGAGAGTTAAACTTGCATACCTAGTTAAAGGCTTGGTTGCATCCAAGGTAACGCGAACCCTAATACCCCTACCCCGACCTTTAGCTGATCTTTCATCTACCCGTTCCACCACCCTGCTTTCTTTGCCAATTGTCATGCATTGCTCCCTGACCTGATCTTCCCCTTAAGCCCGATCACTCTTACCCACAACTGATAAGTGTATAGAGTTCCACTTCATTCACCTCAAACCATCCATCATATGGTGCAAGAAGCACCAAACAATTCCTAAATATCCATGGTCCATCATTCATCACACGCTCTCAGTCACCCAAACATGTCAATTGGACCGAAAAACAAGTTGTCCTCAATCGCTCTGAACTCCACTTCTTGGCAAGGTTTCATGCAGATCTCGTGTTCCCATAGAAAGCTCCATGACTGACCTTACGGTTCGTATACACCCTGGCTAAAACCATGAATTCGGCATCTTTTTCAAGTTCCTTCAGCACCACCTCCTCCTCATCATCTTCCCTTAGATTCAGATGACGCAGCCTGTCGTTGAGCAAATCCGCCGGCGACGCTGCCGTACCAGCCTTCGAACTAGACTTTCTCCAACTTCTTCTTTGTGTGAACTCCCTCGCCGTCGCCACCAACCCTAGACGCCGCCAAGTTCTCGCTCGCCATGGTTTCCGACCTATGTCCATTGACCCTTTGTCCCTCGAACAATACTCCCCTGGCCTAGATCGGACGAAGATCCACTCCAAACAGTGGAAGAAAGGAGTTTCTCGTCGGAGATCGCCTGGGCAATCGCCTACGAGACCTTTTAGGGTACTTGACATGCAGCTAATCACAACTTTGACATCTTTATTGAGTTTACATAAACACATACTGTATTTGTTATCTTGATTGAATTTGCGTGTACATGAGCATCTTACTTTGTACTACCATGTACTGTGTGAGTATGTTAAAGAAAAATGATGATAAGCGAATGTGATTTGTGAATCCGGAGGCGCAGACCCGTTCCCCGCGGCCAAGGCCAACCCCGACCGCAGAGTTTACCGGCCGGCCACCGCCACGCAATCACCACCCGAGCGCCGAGGCAACTCCTCCTCGGCATCCAAAGATAAATATTTTTTGGGGCTATTCCACCCGCGTCCTCCTCTGCCTCTCCGCACCTCTCGCCGCTCCGCGCCTCCTCCTCCTCCCTCCTCCCCCCCACTCGCGGTCGCCTCTCCCGATAGATCTGGTGCCAGGGTTCGCGGCGCCGGCGGACGTGCGGGGGGAGGGGTCGACGCGTGCCTGGTGGCCGGAGGGGAGGATGGGGAATCCGCGTGGCGGCCTCGACGAGCAGATCGAGCAGCTCCTGCAGTGCAAGCCCCTCGTCGAGCCCGAGGTGCCGCTCCTGTCTCCTCCTCCTCCTCCTCCCCGTTTTCCCGAGTCCTGGGTGCTTGATTTTGCGTGTTTCTGGGGCGGGTTGGGGTGCTTTCTGGCGGATCGGCGGCCGGCAGGCCGGATGGATCGGTTGCCCGCCTCTATTAATTGAAAAGAATGAACCTTTGGTGCTGTACTAGGTTGCTAGCGATTGAATGTTTGAGCTGGCGCCTTCATTCCGTGCGTGAATTGTTTGGTTTGCTACGGATTTCAATGTACTAGAGAATTCTGAATGATTTCTCGCGTAATAATGTAATAATGTCGTGCAGTGTTTGTAAGAATTCTTGTAAGGTAGCGTAAGGGACATGCATAAGGGAGAGGTTCTTATATATGCTAATAGAGCTGGTCTTGACCTGCATTTTGGGCCCTGACCAATTGGACCAAAATGTGTATTAATTTTATGTTATTCTTGGTGCTTAGAAGAATTAATTTGCTATCAGGTTGCTTGGTAATGAGTTATCATCACCTTATAAACATTTTTTGCAGTTGAAAGCACTGTGTGAGAAAGCTAAAGAGATTTTGATGGAGGAGAGCAATGTTCAGGTATATCACCATGCTTTCTACATTAATTCAATCGGCAAGAAATTTTTCTGAGCTTCATTGCATTTCTTTTTGTTAGCTGAGTGAGCCTGCGTTTATCTTCTCTTGCATGAACTTTCCGTTTGCCCATGCTATCCACAAACCTTGTTAATATGTCGATGTATAGCTAGATATATTATAATGCGTGCCTACTTTGACAAACGGGAACCGAGCATTGGTCTGACTATAGCTTAATGTTTAAGGCAACCTTGAAGGTTCTGTCTGAAGAATGAGACTTGAAATTGATAAAATTTGATAGTATAATAGGTCTGGAAATTGTGGGGTTTTTATGCCTCCTGTAGTGTCAATAAAATGTTCAGGAACTATGGTGGATGTTGGTCAACTTTGCTTGCGGCCCTAATTTGAGCTTCTCATCAAGGTTCTAGTCAAATGGAAGCTGCACTACTGTCAAAAGTGTATTTTATTTTGCAGTGTCGTTAATGCAGTTTGGTATTTCTTGAAATTTAGAAAGTTTATTCATGATACAAATCTAGAATTTTATTATTATTTTCTTAGTGGATACCAGGGTTTCAAGGCATGAATATCTGAGCTTTCAATTCTAGATAGCCATGCGACTACATATAAAAATTTGTTTTTTTGGCTGTTCTGTAATTTCTAGTTGATCTTTGCCATTGCATTAAAATTCAAACTTCCTTTCAGCCTGTGAGAAGCCCTGTCACGATATGTGGTGATATTCATGGTCAGTTTCATGATCTTGCGGAACTATTCAGAATTGGTGGGAAGGTAAATCTTTTACACCCCTTTTCTTTCCCTTTTGTTTTCACGATTCCTACTGTATTTTGCTGTACTTCACCCTGACTTGGTGGATTCTTATGTCAGCTTGCTTTTTGTGTTCTTATAACCAGTGTCCTGATACAAACTACCTATTTATGGGAGATTATGTGGACCGTGGTTACTATTCTGTTGAAACTGTATCGGTAGGACTACTAACCAGCACAATTTTCTTTAGCAGTTACTTATATAGCTATCGTGCTAAGTTTTTCTTTGAAATCAAACAGCTTCTGGTAGCTTTGAAAGTTCGTTATCCGCATCGTCTTACAATTCTTAGAGGAAACCACGAGAGCCGGCAGGTAGCTTTTTATAAGAATCAAACTATGTGTATTCACATTCCGTGATCACTATTGAACACTGAACTGCAACCATTCTGCAGATCACTCAAGTTTATGGATTTTATGATGAGTGCCTACGGAAGTAAGTAACATTCATCCTATGCTTGTTTTAAGCGATGAAAGCAGCGCAATGGTTTTTGTATTATGCTATATCGATATCTGTAGTCTGTCTATCCAGGATAATTTTACAATTTCGTACATAAGGATTAATAGACGTAGTTTACATAACATGGCAAAGAATCCATATTTAACACTTTACTGTTAAAAACCAAACCACTATACTTTGCTGCTTTTGTTATGCTGTTATAATTAAGATCTTAACTAGTAAGATATGCATATTTTGCATGGCAAATGAATGGGATGCCTTGTGCTTCTTGAGGCTTAATGTGCCTCTAACGTAACAAGATGGTATAGATTTAAGGGCCTGTTTGGTTGGTGACTAATTTTGTCACACTTGCCTTACCTTACGTGCTCAAATTCTTGGCCACACTTTGGCTTGCCAAAGGGAATTTTGCCACACTGTATGTGTGTGACATGTGGGGCTTATTTCTCACAAAAAGAATCTTGCCTTAGGTGTGGCTAGAACCAAACACCCAACTAACTTGGTCAAACTTGCCTTGATGTGGCAAGGTGTGGCCAGGAACCAAACAACCCCTAAGATGCCCACTTGTAAATTGTTACAATTAACAAAAGCTCTCACAACACTTTATGATTTTGAAAGGCCATGCCCAAAGATATTAGGCGTTTTTTTAAAATAGCATTGCGAAGAATTCAGTTAGGTTCTTTATTATTGTCAAATGACCAAAATGCTGTTACTGCTTGTGTTATTAACTTAGTATTAAGATCTAATATAGTAATATATGCACATGCATGGAAAATGAATGATGCATTGGCTTCTGTTGAGACGATGGGGCCTAATTTTACCAAATGCAACAAAACTGTATGGATTTTAAGATGATCATATGCTCTGATTTCAAGCCTGTCAACCCAGCATTGGTGATATTCAAGTCGCCCAGTTGGGTGCATACTTCTGATTTTTAGTTTAAAGTACTGTCTGATGTCCTATGTTAAGGATAGCCATTTCATAGAAGCTGGTGAACATATGACACACATCATCGTTTGGTTCTTTTCCAAATTGCCATTCAAGCTTTTTTATTGAGGTCATACCATGCTGAACTGTTCATGTTCCGCATTGTTGTTGTTGTGATCTGGCCTAGCAATTGTTGTATAAAGCTTATGGGCTTATGATGTCAATGTATCAATGAGTTGGTTGGTGTGTAGTTCATCGGCACTTTGCAGCAATTGGATCCTACTCACATCCGAACTATTTAACCTGTTTGTTGCAGGTATGGGAGTGCTAATGTATGGAAAACCTTCACGGATCTTTTTGACTATTTACCATTGACAGCATTGGTTGGTATCAGTTCAATTTTATTTTGTCTGCTCTTATATCAAGTTTATTTTCATTTTGTCCCCATTTACTTGTTTGTTCTGTTGAGTTATATCAAAGGCTTTGTGCTATAGTTCCAGTGATTTATCAAATAAATTTTCTGCAACCTGGTTTTGTGTGAGGTCCACTGAAATAATTCCAGATTGTAGTTGATGTTTATTTCTTTTAAGAATGCATAGTTCATTGCAAATAAAGTTGACATTTGTTATTCTTGTAATATGTTAATCACTAGTCAAGTTTGTATAAGATAGGGAACACATAGGATGCAGTGTGTATGGTGGAATGAAAACTATTTATTTCTATTTTTGGGATGCCCAGCCTTTAAAATTTAGGCTTGGTTTACCCTAGCTTAGAAATCTTGACTATGTGTTGTCATCCATCATGTATTGCTTTCTTAGGGAATTCAATGTACATCCGAAGTTCCTAACTTTGGGGGGAACTAAACTAATCTATGTAGTGATGTTTCTTACAGCATTCCTCCTGTTAAAGTTAGTCTGTTTGTACTGTATGATTGTGTCTGTTCATTAGAATGAGGTTTTGGTTTGATAAAATCATGCAATTTTCGGTTCTGGAGTTAATGATTGAAAAGCATGCTCATTTTGTTGGTCTCGCTGAGATTTAGGATTGATAAACATACAAATGAATGTTAGCACAAGTACTGTGTTTGCTGTTTCAATTTCTTTATTTTTGTTTTGCTCTTTGCTAAATTCAACATCTTGTATTGCTGTTGCTAGGTTGAGTCGGAAATATTTTGCCTGCATGGTGGACTATCACCATCCATCGAGACACTTGATAATGTCCGCGGCTTCGACCGCATCCAAGAAGTCCCTCACGAGGGGCCAATGTGTGACCTTCTATGGTCTGATCCTGATGATCGATGTGGTTGGGGCATTTCACCACGTGGTGCCGGATACACATTTGGCCAGGTTTAGCTTATTACGTTATTTATATCCGCTCTTTTGTTTCCTTTCTTTGCTTGAGCTGATGTATGGCCTTTTTTTTCCTTCCTTCTTCCAGGATATTTCAGAACAGTTTAACCATACCAATAGCCTTAAGCTAATAGCAAGAGCTCATCAGTTAGTTATGGAGGGATTCAACTGGGCACATGTACATCTCATTCTGACCTATGCTTTCAATTGTGACCTGTTTTGCTTTCAGATTTCCTAATTCCTTGACTGAAACAGGAGCAAAAGGTTGTGACAATATTTAGTGCACCTAACTACTGTTACCGGTGCGGTAACATGGCCTCGATCTTGGAGGTGGATGACTGCAGGGAGCATACTTTCATCCAGGTAATTCCATTCAGTTCTCTCGCTGTCACCTTGTGATCTGTCCGTATTCATGACATGGCGCCGCGCTTTTGTGATCTTGTGCACCTGCAGTTTGAGCCTGCCCCAAGGAGAGGCGAGCCTGACGTGACCCGAAGGACGCCAGACTATTTCTTGTAAATGTAGCCTAGGCCATTCGTTTTTGTTTTATTTTACGGGATAGCTTAGGTTATTCCGACAGCAAACAAAAGAAAGCGCGTGATAGCTAGATGCGCCGTGTCGTGTCGTGTGGTCATAATTTTTGTTGTTTGGGTCTCGCTCTGTTTTGCTTCACTCCTTTTGTTGTAATCTGTGTGCTCATGCTGGGCTCAGGGGTGTGAATGTGATGGATGATGCTGGTAAATCAAAGGCCCGGCGTAGTAGTAATTTTGTTGACTCAAGTTGGCTGTGTAGTATAACATGTGACGATGGCATTGGTGATTTTATGGATACAGCTGAAGTCGTACACTTTGTAATAACTTGTGCGCAGTTGCTGTCAACATTGTGCACAAATTAACCAAGTTTCGATCCTGTAGTTTGGATCAGAAGAGGACCAATCTCATCGAACCGGCATGCATTTCATCAATTTGTACAGATCTGGATGATCTGTCGTTGGTTTCTCTTCTATGAATTTAAAGCCTGTGCATCCGCCTGTCGGCGGTGAGTTGAGCCACGAACGGTGGTGCCACCACCGTCATTTCCATTGTCGCTGTCGGTTGTGTGACCGGTGACGACTGACCGAACCACCCTAACTGGGTCATGGAATGCTGCTGCAGAAGAGTTGGGTGTTTTGTCCTGCGCGGGCCGTGCAGGGTGGCACGGTCCATCACCTGACGAGACTCCGTGAGCGACAATGCCGATGGACAAGCCTTGCGAACCAACGATGGACAATGCCGACGAACGTTCCTCTCGCTCGGAGATCCGTGACCGTATGAAGAGAGAGTCTTGAGATCAGTGGATTGTTTATCCTGATGGTGCGTGCCTACAGATCAGTGGATTGTTGGAGCGCAAAAGTATCCATCGATCTAATGTGGAGATTTCTTTTATGTAACGGTGAGAGGCGGCATGGGCTCAACCTGTGCAAATAATGTACAGCTCTGAGACAAAGGAAAAAAATACAAGGAATTTGATAAAGCCCGAACGCCAGGTGCGATCACATGGCAAATCAAACGTTTTCGATGGCAAGTTTAGTGACGACGCGAGGGTGACAATATTAGTTGGTAAACATGGCAACTTCGTGCTTCAATTTATTTTTAACAAAAAATCACCTGTGTCAACTAACTTGCCACCCCCGCGTCACTAAACTTGCCAGGAAAAACGTTCAATTTGCCATGTCCTCATACCAAGTACTTATCATTTCTGAGAAACAAATCAAGCTCGGGCCTTTGGGCCACCATGGAGACCATGTCACTCGACAGATCACCTGCACTTGAAGACTGTACTTTTACGCCGGTCCGTTCTATCCATAATGGACTCTCATCAAAAGGGCATGCACCACGGTGGTGCTCGCCGTCCACTGACAGGTGGAACCACAGTTTTCACACGCCAAGATTCTCTGCCTCCACCAGCTCTGGTAAAAAAGATCCATCGACCTCAGGAAAGGCCACTGGCTGCACCACTCTCCTCTCCCGCCGCGTCATCGTTGGCAAAGGTTCGGCCAGGAATTCGCAGCACTAATTAAATCCGCCGTACATGTGCACTATGCCCATGCCCAGCTGCTTTCTGCACACCACATTCAGTAGCATCGTCGTTTGTTAATTGATGGAATAATTAGTAACTAGTAGTATTGGTACCGCTGTACTACTAGTAGATGGCAGTGTCGCCCTCGCTAGCTAGCTAATCAATAGGCTCGATAGGCTTAGGGAGCAAGCCTGCGTACCGACAACATGATTACTGCGTACCTTGATATGCGTCCATCCGCATGAATTTGTTGATCAATGGACCCGTAACATTGATGGGATTTGCCGATTTGAGTCAACTCAGCATTTGTGTATGCTAGGTTGGTTGGGTGAGAACGAGATCCCGCTTATGCTTGAAAGGAGCTCGCACCTGCTCTGCCGTGCAAAGATTAGTAGAAGCACAAGTATATGCATGATCATGCAGTTTCAATCAACCGGCCCTAGCGTGCTTTACATAAAGCAAAAGCAAAATATATTTGAATTTGAATGGTTTGTGATTGGGTACGGTCGCTAAGCTAAGTACGTAGCCGTCGGAATATCAGACCCAAATGGACAGTTGAACCACTGCCTAACTAACTGCCCATGCAGAATGATAGTAACCTTGCGGCTAATGCTTGTTAATTTCTAGCGTGATGATTAGATTCTAAATAAAACAAGCTCAGCGAGTGAGCACGGGCTCGCTTATCGCACTAAAACTGCGATTGAATCATTGCCAACACGATTTCCACGGGCATCATCATATGAATGAAAGTGAAGGGTTGATGTCTCGTGTCCCTCTCCTTGTCCGTATGATAAATGTGCCCTTCATGTATGTGGCAGTCCTACTACTTTGGTTGTCATTTGCGGTCTTGTGTACCACCTAAACAAAAACTGAGTGGTGGTGTTACCTGTTAAAAAAAACCGGCCCTAGCGATCATTTACCTGTTAAAAAAAATCCAACCCATCCGGGCTTCTCAAACCGGTCTTAAACTCCCGGACTGACAGGCAACCCTCATATCCAGTCTAAATTTGAGACATATATGTGGAAGACCGGGCGCATCCGTCATGTCGGATTGACGTCATGGTCTCGCTCGAAAACACTGTGAAACTCGACAGTCCGAAGCTCGTGTGCTCTGTCGGACCGATGGTGTCGCGTGACGCTGCTCTGGCGGGCCGCGTAGTGCCCTGGCTCGGCTATTTAAACCGACCGCCGGCACCGAAACCATACCGTCCACATTTCCTCCCCTCTCATCCCGTCCGCCCCGCCACTTTCCACTCGTCGGCCGCTCATCGTCCGCCACCACCAGTATAGCCCGTGGCGGAGCCATAACTTTTGTGAAGCCTGGGCAAATTTAAGCCAACTGCAAAAATCAAAATTGGATTTTTGGATACAAAACATATAAAATAGCAGCAAACATCGGGACCAAAACTCCACATTAATAAAAATATAATCAAAATATAGTAATAGGAATGTGAAAATAAAATATAAACATAATAGTCATACAACCGGGATTTTAAAATGAACTAATATATAAATATTTGGATTTAATTCATTGGCATCCTTAGGTAGTGGATATGGCGCCTATACTTCTGTTTCTAGATGTACATCATTCACATTTTCATTGTTTGTTCAATTAATAAAAAAAAGTTCTTCTCACTAAAATTTATTGATTCAGTTTTTGAAGTTAACGTTCAACTATATAGAACAAATCGCTCACGAAGTTGTGATCATCCCCAATGAATAATTCATCACGCCCTGTCCTGAAACTTTAAGCCCTAAATTTATTAAGGCCCAAACCAGTCAGTAATCTTACCTGGACGGCTGATCCGATAATGGAGGAAACGAGTAGGTAAGGATGCGATCTGTTGCTAGGGATGGATCTCACGTAAACAGTCCACTAAGAGCATCTAAAGCCGGACATTGCAAATCCGGCCTCAAATGCCCGCGGACACGTTGACCGGGCCGCCTCAAATTAGCCACTTTGCATCCGCCTCTCCCATATTTCATCCCCTAAATCCATACAAAACATGCAAAAGTAATCTTACGTACTACCCTAGCTATTCTTTGTCGTCCGAGATATCCACGACGACGGTGCCGGGCGCCGGCTAGACGGGCGGGTAGGAGTGAACGTGATGGATGATGCTGGTAAATCAAAGGCCTCGCGTGGTAGTAATTTTGCTGACTTTGAAGTTTTTTTTTTTTGAAACAGAACTGACTTTGAAGTTGGCTGTGTAGTGTAACATGCGACGATGGCATTTGTGATTCTATGGAGACAGCTGGACTCGTACACTTGTAATAACTTGTGCAGCAGTTGTTGTCAACATTGTGCACAAATTAACCAAGCTTGGATCCCATAGTAGGAAGCTAGGATCGGAAGAGGATTAATAATCTCATCGAACCGGCATGGATTTCATCAGCTTGTACGGATCTGCCGTTGGTTTCTCTTCTGGTATGAATTTGGAGCCTGTGCATGCATCCACCTGTTGGATGGCGGGTTGACTGCCGGCGACGGTCCTCTCTATTGCCGCCATCCGTCCTGTGACCGGCGACGACTGACCTACGCACACTGCTTACCTGGGTCATGGAATGCTGCTGGAGAAGAGTTGGATGCTAGCGCTACTGCAGCCCTGTGCGGCCGTGCGTGGTGCCACGGTCCATCTCCTGACAAGACCGCGTGAGTGACGATGTCGACGGACAAGCCTTGCGAACCAACGATGTCGACCGTGCCACCATTCCACTCACAGGGAAGACACTGACTGACAGCGTGCCACCATTCTACTCACAGGGGAATATACCAACAGCGCAAAGTGTACCGAGCACAGCTACGAAGCTGATGGGAACCAACGTCCCTCTCGCTCGCTCGGAGATCCGTGACCGTATGAAGAGAGACAAGTTTGTTTTTCCTCACGGTGTATCAGTTTTTTTTTGAACAACAAAAGGCGCACTAGGCGCCAAACTTTCTTATTTCAGCTCAGAAACACCCTACAACATGAATTACAAAGCCCTGAAATTGAAAAGTAGAGAGAAGAGAAACTACAGGGCAAGTCATATTCCGATGAGCTGAAGCGAAACAACATATATCAGGTTCTACCACTGATGTTAGAACCTGGTGAGCTACATTGTGTGCAATACAATTGATCTCCCTAGAGATGTGAAACACCTGGGACTGAAGATCTGAGGAGTAGCAGAAGAAGTCAGCCAGAATTTTCCTTATAGTCCAAGGAGTAGTAGATTCCTTAATCTTTCTGCTAGCCGCCCATGACGCCAAAGACAGATTGTCAGTGAGGAAAGTGGGCTGAAAAATGCATAGCTGTTTGGCCACTCTAGCCGCCAAAAGAAGCGCCAAAGCTTCAGCTTGTAAAGGTGTATATGTGATAACAGTAGAAGCTTGGATCTGCACATTGACCTCCAATTGGTCTTGTGGTAAAGAGAGGTAAATTCCAATTCCAGTAGCAACAGATCCTTGAGTCAAGCCTGGAATT